AAAAAATGAGAGACACACTTGTATGTGATAACTATTCCCATGAAGATATAACTGGATCATTGAAGTATCGAGTAGAGTTAGTTGTTGATGATGGATCAGATACAGCATCCTTCATAATGTTCAACAAAGATTTATCGAAGATTTTTTAAAAAAACCCCAACTGAGTTGGTTGAACACATTGTTTGTTCTTGTATGTTATAAAATATTCTTTTTTCTTTTTTCTTTTTTTCCTAATATATACAATCATTTAAATGTATAGGAAAATAACAATGATAATGATACGGAAGACAATGGTGTAATGTCTTTTCTGAAAGAAAATCTGGTTGGTGGTGAATATAATTTTACAATTAAAATCAATTCATATAACTTCAGGTCCACATCCGCTGGTATTACGATCATTGAGACCAATAAATTAGCCGGTGGTACGGAAAATGTAATTGCTTAATATTTTTGTACTAAGAAGTTCATTAATATTTCTTTTTTAAGCGTGAACCCTTTTTATTTACCAAACATATGTTTATATGTAGGATGACATTAATTTGAGTGATAGTAATATCATTGATAAATGTGAGGGAGGGAGGAGTCAAAACCACACCGTGAGGAAGAGGAAGACGGAGAATATGTATGATAAAAACAACAAAACTTCTAACTTGAATAAAGAGTTGACTAAAAAATCTGGGAAAAATAATTTGAATACAAAGGAAAGTAAAACAAAGAAAAGAATGTTAGTCAATGATGATCGGCCAAGAAGAAATAAAAAGATTAAAGTAGATGACACATATACATGGAAATGAACTTTTTTTGTGTTTAAAACCCTTTTTGTTATTGACATTTTTTATAAATATATATTATGTTGTTAATTTGACAAAGCAACGCTTTCTTTTCTTATGTAAATAGATAAAAAGTAGTCACTGTTGAAGGAGGTTTTTGTAGAATATTTAGTTTTTGTTTTAGAAGTTATCATCCTGAAATAAGAAAAACTGATTGTGTCACTCCTTATGTAAGTAAAACAAAAGTGTCTGGTTGTGTATATGATATTAATAACGTTAATGGTGGTTTTAATACTGAAAATGTCATTGGTCACCTTTATCCATGCGCTACAAATGTAGTCGTTTGTAGATATAGGGGAATCGTGACGTGTTCTTCACCGGAACCCAAACCGCGATGTTGTATTCACGGTATCGAGACATCACGGAGGATAACTTTGGTGTAAGAATCACTTTTTCTTATTAAGGAGAAGATAGGAGTGAAAATAAATGATGGTAATTTTTTTTTTTTTTTAAACGAAGCTTGAGGTGAAGATAGGAGAGAAAGTAAATGATTTAAAGGTTTTTTTTTTGAAACGAAGCTTTAGGAGAAGATAGGAGAGAAATTAAATGATCGGGACTTTTTTTTGCAAACGCAGGGCCTGTTTTTTGTTTTTATCAGTACTGTAGATATTTCCTCAATTGTTTAATCATCTTATGTTTTTTTATTGAGGAGAAGAAAGGAGACCAGAAACTGATCGGACGGTTATTTTCAGGAAACGTTGCAAGTGTTTTCGTGATTGTTTAATCATCCTCTGTTTTTTAATCACATACATTATAAGCAAATACGAAAAGTGTATTACTTGGGGAAGGATTGTAAAAAGACGCGTTTACAAATGAAGAGGCATAACTGAATGTTTGTGATGTTTGAGAAAGACACATGTTCAATACACATGTCGTTTCAGGGTTAAGGTTGTATGTTTGTGTCATTTATAAATAGAGGACAATTTTCTTCGTTTACGAGTTACTCTCCCGTGAATACACTTGGGCATACAGTGTTTTCAACCGGATGAATGGTTGTTATCCTTTATGTCGTTACTTTTTATCCTAAAAAACAATTTAATAATTTAATACACTGTTTATGATTTTACTGTATTGTAATCTCTCAACAATTTGAATTATAACATACAACTACAGCAAACAATTCAAGAGTCTATCAACGATGTACCACCAGTATTGAAGCCTAGCTACAAGTGAAAGTGCAATTGCTTCTTTGGAAGTATACGTCGTGAAAGATGATGACAACCTTTCAGAAGACAAATGTGTTATATGTTTGAGAAATTTTTAACAGGATCAGAAATTTTGCTTCTAAACTGTGGCCATTAATTTGGAAGAAATTGTTTATTACTGTGGCTTCGTTTAAAGAATACATGTCCCATTTGTCGAACAGAAGTACTATAGTTTATAGATTAAGATATTGTATTGTTTACAACAGTTAGTTTTAATAAAAGGCTTATTTTATTATTGTTCTCTCTTTTCATTACTCAAGAACGAGAAGGTAAATTAAATAATAACATATGCAAAGTAGTATATCGTAATAAATTTCGCACTAACATTACATTTGAAAACAGCTCATATAAAATCTTTTCCAAATCAAAAAACACAACTACATATATTACGGTATAAGTCACCACTTTCATATTATTTGTTGATAAAATATACAAGTATACTACAGATACACACCTCATCTACCTTACCACCAAAAAATCAAAATAGACACATCATTTCAAATTCTTTTATATTATATTAAACTATTTAAAAGAAATTGTACGCATATTAAAGTTAATATAAGAAATTTAGTAAACAAAATTTTTATTAATTGATAATATATTTTCAGATCTTGTAGAAAAGTATCTCATACTTCATTCATTTAGAAGTTAATAACCACATTTTCATCTCTTTGTTAAAAACTGAGTTTCCGCGCGACATCGCGCGGGTTCATTTCCTAGTAGTTATAAGAATAGTCTTTTAATTTTACATTTATCTTACTCCATGAATTTAAATACTGTTTTGATAATGTACCAACTTAAACTATTTTTTTCTGATACAATTCAAATGAATTCATAAGAACACAAAAGAATAGTTCTTTTAATTTAAAATTTATCTTACTCCATAATTTTAAATGTGCTTTATAAGCACTAAATGTTTTTAATAATCTACCAACTTAAACTATTTTATTGTCACTGATCATCTCCTTCTATTTTAATCATAACATTAATTACAATTATAATTTTTTGGCAATTAATGAATTGAAAACTAATAAACCAGTTTCTGCTATTTCGGGGTAAAAATAATATATGACAGAAAGTTACGGGCAGAATGGAAAATAAAAAAAGATAGACGGTCTCTCCTCGTCCGCCATATTTATCATTCAAAAAAAAAAGGTATCGGCCCCACACTCTCCAGTCTCCACTTTATAAACCCTAAAAGATTCTTCTCTCTCTGTCTCACACCCAATTTGCATTTCTTCGTCATCATCTACTTTCTTCCTGCAATTATTTTTCTTCCCAGATTCAGCAGTTTCACTTTGGGTAAGCTCTTTTTTAACTGTTTGATGAATCCTCTTTAGTTCTAAAACGTTGTCCACTGTCGTACGATCTTCCTTTTACTGGATTTTGAATCGACCACAAACGCTTCAGATCCTCTCGATTATTAGTTCAAAGTTTTGTTTGAAAGATTATTATTACTCAGCTTGTTCTTAGTTACTGATCCTGTCGTTTTGTTTGACTTTGAAATTGACCGATCCGGGTCGTGTCGTGTGTGTTAGATCTCTGAAAATCGAAAATCGTTCGTTAGAGATCGCTTCTCATACCGCAGATTCGTTAGATGGATCGAATCATTTTCTAGTAGTTTTAATTAAGAGTGAACAGATCTTTGATTGTGGATGCGAATAAGAATTTCTTAGAATATTATTACATGTTGTGGTAGGTTCTGGGGGGAAGTAGTAAACGTTTCATCTTCCCTTTTTTTTGTTCTTATTACCGGATCATACTACATGGTAATTAGGAATATGTCTCTTTTGTGTCTTAAGCATGCCACTTTGGACAAAAAGAAACGTATTACTTGCCACTAAAAAGATATGTCTCTATCAATAAGGAATGGGTAGATCAATTTACAAATCTTTTTTTTTTTATCTAGAAAAACTTATCTAATATTAGAAGAAAAAAAATCCTCTTAATTCGAATATTCTTGTGTGTTTAATACAAGATTGAAATTGAAGCTTTTAGTTAGAGTTTGGAACAAGCGAAAAAGATGGTTTTGATCTTCTTCCCCCTTGTGATCTTTAATTAAATGGTCATCCTTTGGCTATGATGATTTACTTGAATATTCTGTCCGTTACAAAAGTTATAGAATACAAATGAGTTTTTTCGTTTTCTTGTTATAAAATAATCTCCCATGAGTCACCGCTGCATCTGGTCGGCGTACCTTATGATTATTTCTTTCATGCCTATAATATATGTTAATTTTAATATAAAATCTATTAATTTGTTCGTATTTTAGTTTTTTTTTAAATTTTGGCTTTGTAATAATTTTTTTGGATCCTTTTTTTGGGGCATAATGAAAACCTCCTTTTTTTTTCTTGTCTAACTCATCAAAGCATTTTTCTTTACAAAAAGAAAGAAATTGTGATGTTGCTGGTTTGGTGGGTACTTTACACCTTACTTAATTTTGTTTGGTAAGGCTTTTATTAATATATTAAGCACATACACTTATTCATTTGTAATTTTGTATTATGGTGGAGATTGGTTGGTGTTAAAAACAGATTCAAACTCTGATAACATCACATGCCACAGCCCATAGTACCTATTGATCTTTGTCCTCTCCTGACTGTTTTGGATTCTTTAGCTTTATGATCTACAATAAGTCATTTCTTAAAATAATAAAACTAAACAAAATTAGAAATCTTCTACTATTGAATTAGTATTTCAAATTATTATAACGGAGATGATGTATTTCTGTTGACTGTTACAATAAATATCTTATCTTGTTTTATTTGTATCTAAATTATGAATTCTGGAAATTGGTTTTCTCTTTCTTGCAAGCTACTGTTCTTAAATTATTTTATTTATTTATTTGTGTAAAGAACTCCCAATCTGATATAAGTAGTAGTATAACATCTTCCAATCTCTACTCAGGCAAGACCCTTTTTGATATTCTGCAGAACTGAAGTAATCGAAATTGCTCGATCATATCATGGAGGAAGCAACTCAAGTAGCAAGCTCTGAAGTCCCTGTAGTGAAAGATGATGCGGTTGACCTTAAGACAGTTGATGTTTCCGTCAAGGTAATGATCACTGAGTGTTCGGTTTAGCAGAATTATATATGTTTTCCTTTTGACTATAATCAAATTTTCCTTTTGTAAATCGATGTGAGCCTTGCATAAGGTTTAATTTAATTCTGCGTTTTGAAACTACGGTCTGTCTATGAAATTTCTTATAAGCACCAGAGTGTAAGAATGTTGTGGAAGATTTATTTGTATTTCTCGATCTGCTGCAGCCTGTGAATGGAGATGTGACAAAGGAAGGGAAAGAAGAGGAAGATACAACATTTGATGGAGAATTCATAAAAGTTGAGAAGGAAACTTTTGATGCCAAGGATGATGCCGAGAAAGCTGAGCATGTTCCTGTTCAAGAGCAAACGCAAGTCTCAGTTGAAAGAAGCTCGAGTGGTTCGGAAAGAGAACTACATGAATCACAAGAAAAGGCGAAGGAACTAGAGCTCGAATTGGAAAGAGTAGCAGGGGAACTGAAACGGTATGAATCCGAGAATACCCACTTGAAGGATGAGCTCTTGTCTGCGAAAGAGAAGTTAGAAGAAACGGAAAAGAAGCATGGTGAGCTCGAAGCTGTCCAAAAGAAGCAGCAAGAGAAGATTGTTGAAGAGGAAGAGAGATACAGCTCTCAGTTGAAATCCTTGGAAGATGCTTTGCAGTCCCATGATGCCAAAGACAAGGAACTAACTGAAGTTAAGGAAGCTTTTGATGCATTGGGCTTAGAACTCGAGAACTCACGAAAGAAGTTGATAGAGTTGGATGAGGGGCTAAAGCGTTCAGCTGAAGAGGCTCAGAAATTTGAAGAGCTGCATAAGCAAAGCGCTTCTCATGCTAACTCTGAGACTCAAAAGGCTTTGGAATTTGCACAGTTGCTTGAATCGACCAAAGTGAGTACCAAGGAAATGGAGGAAAAAATGGCTTCCCTGCAACAAGAAATCAAGGAGCTGAATAATAAGATTTCTGAAAACGAAAAAGTTGAAGCTGCTTTAAAGAGTAGTGCGGAAGAATTAGCTGCTGTTCAAGAAGAATTGGCACTTTCAAAATCTCGTTTGTTGGAAACAGAACAAAAAGTTTCTTCCACGGAAGCCCTCATTGATGAACTGACTCAGGAGCTTGAACAGAAGAAAGCTTCGGAATCTCGGTTCAAGGAAGAATTATTGGTTCTTGAGGATTTGGTTGTTCAGACCAAAGATCTTAAAGCTAAACTTTTAGAACAGGAAGGTATTAATTCAAAGCTAGTGGAAGAACTCAAAGAGAAGGAACTTCTAGAGTCGTTGTCGAAAGACCAGGAAGAGAAGCTAAGAACTGCAAATGAGAAATTGGCCGAAGTGTTGAAAGAAAAAGAAGCCCTTGAAGCAGATGTAGCATTGGTAACAAGTAATGCAGTGAAAGTAAAAGAGCTTTGTAGTGAACTTGAGGAGAAGCTGAAAACATCAGAGGATAATTTCACCAAAACAGATGCTCTCCTGTCTCAAGCTTTGTCAAACAAGTCTGAACTTGAGGAGAAACTGAAATCGCTGGAGGAGGTTCACAATGAAACTGGATCTGTAGCAGCAGCTGCTACTCAGAAGAATCTTGAGCTTGAGGAAGTTGTTCGGATCTCTAGTCAAGCAGCAGAAGAAGCACAAGCACAGATCAAAGAGCTGGAGGCACAGTTCACTGCAGCTGAACAAAAGAACGTGGAGCTACAGCAGCAACTGAACCTATTGCAACTGAAAAGCGGTGAGGCGGAACAGGAAGTGAAAGAACTCTCTGAGAAAGTATCTGAACTCAAATCCGCTGTTGAAGTTGCCGAGGAAGAGAAAAAACAAGCTACCACTCAGATGCAGGAATACAAAGAAAAAGCATCCGAATTGGAATCTTCTCTGAGCCAAACATCATCCAGAAATTCAGAGCTTGAAGAAGATTTGAGAATCGCTTTGCAGAAGGGTGCAGAGCATGAAGACCGTGCTAATACAACTCACCAGCGCAGCATTGAACTAGAATCTCTGTGTCAAACATCACAGTCCAAACACGAAGATGCCGAAGGAAGAATGAAAGACTTAGAGCTTCTACTCCAGACAGAAAAAAACAAAATTCAGGAACTTGAGGAGCAGGTTAGCTCGCTAGAAAAGAAGCGTGGAGAAACTGAAGCAGAGTCCAAAGGTTACTTGGGTCAGGTGGCTGAGCTTCAGTCTACACTAGAGGCATTCCAAGTGAAAAGTTCCAGTCTCGAAGCTGCTTTAAACATTGCAACTGAGAACGAGGGAAAAATGACAGAAAATCTAAACGCTGTGATGGGTGAGAAAAAGACATTAGAAGATACAGTGAATGAGTACAGCGCGAAGATCAATGAGTCTGAGAATCTGTTAGAAAGTCTCAGGAATGAATTGGGTATCACTCAAGGAAAACTGGAGAGCATTGAAAACGATCTTAAAGCTGCGGGGTTACGGGAAAGCGAAGTAATGGAGAAACTTAAGTCTGCTGAAGAGAGTCTTGAGCATAAAGGAAGAGAAATTGATGAAGCTATGAAGAAAAGCATGGAACTTGAAGCATTGCATCAGTCTTTAAGCAAAGAATCGGAGCAGAAAATTCAAAAGGTCATGGAGGATTTCACTGCCAGAGATTCAGAGGCCAGTTCCTTAACGGAGAAATTGAAAGAACTCGAGGACAGAATAAAATCATATGAAGAGCAGTTGGCTGAAGCATCTGGCAAATACTCTTCTTTAAAAGAAGAACTTGATCAGACTTTTGAAAAACTCGCTGCTGCAGAAACCGTTAATGATAAACTCAAACAAGAGTTTGACCAGGCAAAAGAAAGATCCTCCCAGTCATCATCAGAGAATGAACTACTAGCAGAGACGAACAACCAACTCAAGATCAAAATTCAAGAGCTTGAAGGGTTACTACGTTCTACTTCTATCGAGAAGGAAACTGCAATGAAACAGGTGGAAGAGGCAGTTGAAAAGTTCAACCAGAAAGAAGCAGAACATAAGGACTTAGTTGAAAAGCTGAAAACGCATGAAAACGAAATCCAGGAGCACAAAAGGCTGGCTCATGAAGTATCAGGAGTTGCGGATACTAGAAAAGTCGAGCTTGAAGAGACTCTGTTGAAATTGAAGAATCTTGAATCTACTATTGAAGAGCTCGGAGTCAAATGCCATGGGCTTGAGAAAGAAAATGGGGATCTGGCTGAGGTAAATTTAAAACTGAACCAGGAATTAGCCAATCATGGATCAGAGGCCAACGAGTTGCAGACAAAGCTCTCTTTTCTAGAGGCTGAGAGGGAGCAAACAACCAAAAATCTGCAGGCTTCAAAGACAGCCCATGAAGATCTAGTAAAGCAGCTTACATCTGAAGGGGAGAAATTGCAGTCACAGGTAACACCCTGGATCTTAATATGTTCTATTTACAATCTACACTGATACAGTTTTGTTGTTTACTACAAGCTTTAAGAAAATAATATGAGTTTATTGTGTTGCAGATTTCTTCCCTCACCGAGGAGAACAACCAAGTCAATGAGATATTCCAAAGTACTAAGAATGAGCTCCAGTTAGTTATTGCAAAGCTTGAAGAACAAGTAACCTTAGAGAGGTCTAAAGCTGATACTTTGGTGTCCGAGATTGAGCAGCTCAGGGCAGTGACTGCTGAAAAGTCTGCTTTGGAATCACATGTCGAAGAACTTGAAAAGACTTTGAAGAATTTTGAAGCACAGTTGAAAGAAGAGGTAATGCACTCATCTCAAACAGAGGCAAATACAATGGTTATGATAGGATCTATATATAACAGTACATGTGTAATGTTTCTTCAGGTTGAAAATGCAACGGCTGCGTCTGTTAAAGTGGCAGAACTGACCTCAAAACTGCAGGAAGGCGAACATATCGCTAGTGACCGAGATGTTCTCAGTGAGCAAGTGCTTCAGCTTCAGAAAGAGCTTGAAGCGGCTCAGAGTTCAATTACTGAACAGGTTAGTAACATGTCTTCTGTTTGACTTCTATATAATCTCAGACACGCTTTGGGATTCGTTAGAACTCTTGAATCTAATTCAGGAAAAAAATAAAAGAATCCATCTTCCTTAATTAGTCACTAAGCTCTGACATCATTTCCGTGGAAACAGAAACAAGCACACTCCCAGAAGCATACAGAGCTGGAGGCTGCACTAAAGCAATCACAAGAAGAGATTGAAGCTAAGAAAAAGGCAGTCACAGAATTTGAATCAATGGTCAAAGATCTTGAACAGAAAGTGCAGCTCTCGGATGCTAAAGCTAAGGTCAGTCAAATTATCTCCACGCAGAGTTCTCTTTGACTGATAACATACATACATGCAATGTATATATCATATTATCTAGGAGAAGTGATTAAAAAACCTCAAAGCATTGTTGCTTATATTGTCCGAAACCAAACTTGCAGGAGACTGAAGCAAAGGATGTAAGCATCAAATCTCGTGACATAGACTTAACCTTCTCATCTCCAACTAAACGTACGAGCAAGAAGAAGTCAGAGGCATCTCCTTCCTCTTCTTCTTCAAGCAACGTTACTGCTACTCAGACGGCCACAACATCTCATCTCATGACAGTGAAGATCATCACTGGAGTAGCTCTGATCTCTGTCATCATCGGTATAATTCTCGGGAAAAAGTACTAGTCGTCTTCTTGTTTGGTGTGATGCTCATATGTGAATGTGAAGATCTCTCCTTTATTTGTTTTTTTAAAATATAATTTTGATCAAAATCTCTCAGAAGCTTCATGAGAGATGTAATGTTTTAGCAGAATTTGGGAAGTTTTGCATGAATTTGCTTCCCTCTGCAGATTGTCTTTGTTTTTTTTTTGGCTTGTTGGTCAAGCAATGTTCTGATACTCTTAAATTAAATGAAAGTGAAGTTATTTGAAATTTTTCCTATTGAACCGATTGGTTTTAAATTAAACCCGGTTCAGTAAAACCCGCGTTTGCGCGTTGCCTATATAAACCCCCTCCAGTGAACGCTCTACTTCCTCAACGTCTCTCTTTCGCTTTCGGATTCAACAAGAAAGATGACTCTAACCCTAAACATGGCGGATACTCTAACCAACACCTCCCAAGAAACCGACTACACCTACAACCATCCCGACGAAGACAACCTCTCCCTCTCCCTCCTCCGCATCAACAGCTTCGATCGCCGCCGCGCGAACTCCTCTCCTCCTCAGTTCCAATCTCACGGATCATTCTCCTCTTCCTCCACCGCCGCCGCAGCAACAAGCCCCGTGAAACGCCCCTCCCCGGAGCAGAAAGAATCCGAAGAAGAAGAGCCGCCGAGACGCAAGAAGCTGTTTCGCTCCCCACCGCCGCCTGAATCGAAGGAAGACGAAGAAGAAGAGATGATGTCTAACCGCCTCGGATACAAGAAGGTCCCGCTTCCTAACGATTTCGATCCGAATCGGATCCGTTCGTCTCGCGTATATAATCGATCTCTCTCCGATCGATTTGCTTCGTCTTGCGGCGATCGAGAGACAGCACCGTCGGGTAACGTCGTCGCTTCTCTGCCGCCGAGGCCGCGGAAACCGGTGTTTCGGAGGTCGGTTTCAGATCTTACGCCGGCGGCGCCGTCGATGGCGTTTCTTGGATCTTCTTCTTCTCGTGAAGCTAATCTTGCGAATCAAGAAAACTTTGATGCTAATAAGGTTGAAAACGTTTCGTTTTGAGAATGTCTTGCGGTTTAGGGATTGTGATATGTAATTGTTGTTTTGTGTTGAATTGTGGTGATTCATCAGATGCTGTATGTGATCAAGGATGGAGTTCGTGAATTGGATCAGTGGTGTAACAAGCTCTTACACTACAGTGAAGCTGTGAAGCAAGACGATACTCCTAAGGTTTAACTCTAATCAACAGATTTGTTCTCTTATAATCGATCTTGTTAATTAAAGTTCTTTTGCTTTGGTACAATGTTTATTGGTGAGCAGGAAGAAGTTGAGTCAGCAGAGGAGGAGGAGGAGAAAGAGAGAAAGTGTAAAGAAGGAGTGAAGGTGGACAGAGTAGGTGAGGCGTTTGTGGTTGAGATCAACTGTCCATGTGGAAGAAACTACCGAACTCTCTTCTCTGGCCGTGACTGCTACTACAAGCTCTTGTAGACATTCTTTGATCATCAATCATAAGTGGAAGGATCTCTCATCACGTAGCTTCTGTAGATAAGCCATATACCGCACACACTGTTTCGTGCTTGTAGATACTAGCTAGATATACACATTTGTTTCATACGCACTGTTTCCTCTTCTTGTATAAGATGTCTTCTAGATAGTAGTAGCTATACACATTGTCATATACCCTTGTTACCTCTTTCACTGAAATGGAAGTTTAAATGTTCATTCTGTCGACTTGCAAATTTTTATGTTTATGTAAAGACCGGATTTGGACGGCTTGAACCGTGACCCGGTCTGGGTTTATCAACACCAGCCTGTGTACCACAATTAGAAGAAAAGAAAAAACATGTTTTTAAAGCCCCAAATATAAACTATTGGGCCGTTGATGGGCTTTCACGATAGTAATACTAAAACGACGCCGTGGGGAAGTAGCATCCAAAAAATCCATGGCAGACTCTTATTATATCTTCAAGCTGCTAACCTTTGTGTGTAATCCATGGTGAATCCTGAAGGAGACGCTGAAGTCTTCTTCTTTTATCTCCTCTCATTTTTTTTTCCCACCAGATAAACAGTATCTCTCTGGCGCTAACTGCTAAGTAAGTTTTCTCTCAAAGTTCTTATGAGTTGTCTACAACATGTTCGATGATATTACCCAATGAACAGTTCTCCTGTTTTCTCACTAGTTCTACTCCCTTTTAGTCTGATAACTCACTTTCTTACATGACCCTTATCTTAAGTTTTGTCCTTGGAATAGGTTTTGGATAAATTGTAATGTTTTCGTACATGCCCATTATCTTCGATTTTTGGTTGGTATTAAAGCTTTTTCCTCGATATGTATTGAACATTTGTAGGCTGTTTTCCCTGTTTTGGAACTTCATGAACTTCTTGAGATAACTTCATTAACTTCTTGGGATACCTTCATAATTATGTTTCCCCTGTCTCTTGCAGATGAATTGTATTGAAAATTGAATGTACAACAGATACAGAGTTATGCTGCGTGCAACTTGTTTTACTCCTTCCTTTTCTCGGGCATGTTGCCCTTTATTTGCTCTGTTTCTCAGAATCCCCTCTGTTCATCACCCTCATCTTCGTAGCTCTTCTCCATTTCGTGGGTATCATAGTTCATTACATGTCAAAGGGTCTCGAGATAGACGACGTATTCTCATTGATCACAACAGACGTATGTGCACCATACCAGAAGCTGCTAAACAACCACCAGCTTCCACTTCTGAAAACTTATCAAGAAAGGCAAGGAAGAAAGCTATTCAACAGTCTCCTGAATCAATGCTGAAACAAAAGCTAGACATGTGCTCTAGGAACGGTAATGTCTTGGAAGCTCTTCGCTTGTACGATGAGGCAAAACGCAACGGCTTGCAGCTAAGTCAGTACCATTATAACGTGTTGCTCTATGTCTGCTCGTTGACTGATGGAGAGACAGAGTCTTCTTCTTCTCAGAATCCAGGACTTAGTAGGGGTTTTGATATATTTAAGCAGATGATTGTTGACAAAGTAGTTCCTAACGAAGCTACGTTCACAAACGGTGCTAGGCTCGCCGTTGCAAAGGATGACCCGGAGATGGCTTTTGATATGGTGAAACAGATGAAAGCCTTTGGGATTCAACCAAGGCTGAGATCATATGGACCAGCTCTCTTTGGTTTCTGTAGGAAAGGTGATGCAGAGAAAGCTTATGAAGTCGATGCGCATATGATTGAATCAGAGGTAGTCCCTGAGGAGCCTGAGCTTACTGCTCTTTTGAAAGTTAGTATGGATACGAAGAACGCGGATAAGGTCTATGAGACGTTGCAGCGGTTGAGGGATTTGGTGAGGCAGGTTTCTAAACCGACTTTTGATGCTATTGAGGAGTGGTTTAAATCTGAAGCAGCTGCAAAAGCTGGAGTCGAGAAATGGGATGTGAAGAAAATAAGAGATGGAGTTGTGAGTGGTGGTGGTGGGTGGCATGGACAAGGTTGGCTTGGGACTGGGAAATGGAATGTGACAAGGACGGAGATGGATGAGAATGGTGTGTGTAAGTGTTGCAAAGAGAAGCTTGTTTGTATTGATATCAATCCGGTTGAGACGGAGAACTTCGCTGCTTCGTTGACTCGGTTGGCTTGTCAAAAAGAAGTCAAAGCTAGTTTTAATCAGTTTCAGGTAACAATCTATTCTCTTGAGGATTGTAGTAAAACTATCTAAAGCAAAGCTGAGACATGGTTTTGTGGCAGGAATGGCTGGAGAGACATGGACCGTTTGATGCAGTCATAGACGGAGCAAACATGGGGTTAGTCAACCAACGAAGTTTCAGCTTCTTCCAGGTGATCTTGAACTCTTGTTCCTTTTCTAATGCCAATCTCAAGATCCTTGTTGGATTACTCATGTGATTCCATCTCTTGCTCTAGCTTAACAATGTTGTCCAAAGATTTCAACAAATTAGTCCATCCAAAAGGTTACCACTTGTGATCCTGCACAAGAGTCGTGTAGTGGGAGGTCCAGCAACTTACCCTAAAAACAGAGCCTTGCTAGAGAAATGGAAAAACGCTGGTGCTCTCTATGCTACTCCTCCTGGCTCAAACGATGATTGGTATCTTCTTTTTTCTTAGTTTTTGTACTTTGATGCAGAGAAAAAGACAAAAACATTGGTTATATTCTATGAAATTCAATTTTGTTCAGGTATTGGCTATACGCTGCTGTAAGTTGCAAGTGTTTATTGGTGACAAACGATGAGATGAGAGACCATCTCTTTCAGCTACTGGGAACAAGCTTCTTCCCAAGGTGGAAAGAGAAGCATCAGGTAATATCTATAACACTATAATCTGTGAATTTATATACAAGTATGCTCCTATGTATAATCTTTTATATGTTTCCAATGTTGCAGGTTAGGATATCTGTGTCAAGAGAGGAAGGACTCAAACTACATATGCCACCTCCATACTCCATTATAATACAGGTCGCTTTCTGCTTACACAAACTCAATTTTACAAAACATTTGTGTCTGCACTTTTGCTTAAATGATAGATTGATGCAGGAGTCTGAGGATGGAAGATGGCATGTCCCAATGAGTGTAGAAGATGATCTTCAGACATCAAGGCAATGGTTATGCGCGAGAAGATCCAAAACACATTGAACCTGTTTTTGATTCGGGTTAAAACTTGTTGTAACAACACCAACATCAATTGATTTAGAAATAGATTGTTGTGTCATTAAAAAACCAGACGATAGTTATTTATATTTCATCACTTTTCAAATATTTCCAGTCTGACCCCATTAATTTTCTTTGTCCTATCGTGTTATTCAGAATTTTCCGTGTCCAAAAGTTGACTAACCGGAGATTATTACGTCATTACGTCATTCATTGTTATACCATGATTTAGAATATGTAATGAAAAATAATTTATTAAAATGATATATCAACAATACAAACCAAAGATCAAGAAAGAAATGAATAAACAAATGGAAAAGGAGATCCAAATGCCATGAACTAGTCGACTATATCAAACATAGTTTACTAAAGTAAATAAACTCCTCCGAAATCAGAAGCAGGCGTCGAGGACACAACAACAACACATGGCCGCAAGACTGCATTAAACAATAAAAAACAGTAAACAATGTTTCAGCACACAATAACCGATCCGGTTCGATATGTAATCACACGTCCGTGTCATAATCTATACTATTAAAGCTGAAGTACAAAAAATTAGTGTTTGGAAACATGAATAGGTATTTAAAATTATAATGATTGGAAACAAGGATAGCCTACAAATCTAATGAGCTTATTTATTAAACTAAAGATTACTGTGGCCCAAAATATCATTATTATTGTTTTTGGGTTTCTATCATTGACATTATTTTATTTCTGAAAATTATTTATACATATATGTATTCATGTTGTAAATGTATTTAAAATAAATCAAGAATAATATATATTTTATTTATATAATTTATATTGACTATTGTTATAAATTTTTAACAGGGATATACTAGCCTTTCAATTCTTCAATTAAAAATTAACTTAAAAATTTGAATAAATTGTTTAATGTATATAACTTTGCACCAAATTTAGCAAACAATATTTTGCGACGCCCCTGTTACACAATACAGTGATGAAATACAATGTTTAAATAATGTATTATTACTTAGTCAAATTGGAACCATTAGATTGTAATTTTTGAAATGGATATATACCATAAAAACAAATACCCGCCCAGTCGGGCGGGTTATGATCTAGTTGAAATTAAAGGAAAAAAAAAAAAGACTAACCAGCCTTTCAAGAATCCATCACCCTTAGACTTTGTCTCAACCGGAGCCATCGTGGCATGACTCGTGTCGTTCGTTGGGTAACCGGCAGGAGGTGGTGCTACGTAGGGACCGGTAGACACTGGCGGCATATCATAAGCTCCTAATTATACAGACATACATATGGTTCACGTTAGTTTTAATACGATAAGTCACGACGGTCGAGATATGATGCTAAAATTGTAAGAAAAGTGAAGAACAAAATCAAACCTGCAGATTGGTTCTGGCTGAACTGAGTCATCTTCGAATAAATAATAAGCTTGTCTTTTACAAAAGCTAGGGAAAAATTGTATGTAAGGATGTTATACGTGTATGAGATGGGATTGTTATTTGTAATTGATCATTAGTCATGCACATATATATAGCTTAGAGAGGAGGAGGAAGAAGAAAAGGTCGGTTTAGTAGTAGCCGCGTGAGGGCAGGTAACATTAATTGTTTACGTCAACAAATTTTATTCTAAGGAAATTGAAGTCGGCGAAGAAGCATCCTCTTTTGTTTGGATCAAATTAAATAGTATAGTATTCAACATTAAACAAATTTGGAAAAGTGATGAAGACATCAGAATAACACGGAAAGAACCCCTTTTAATTTGTTGACTGGTTAAACTTTCAATAAGAAAGTCATCACATATTTGATTTTGTGATGACTTTCTTATTGAAAGTTTAATAAGAAAGTCATCACATATTTGATTTTTAAAAAGGAAATATATATATATATATGACTTTTGTTTGTATAAATAGAGATAGTGCAGAAGCTTTTGAATAAATATGCAACATGAATGATAAAACTTAACATGGGTGGATTCCTATTCTTTGTTGATAAGGGGTTTTATTTTCTTTCTCACAGCCAAAGTTTAGTCCTTTTTCTCTATGGGAATATTTACATGTGAAGAAAAGGGGAGAATATTTACAACTAAAAACCTTACATACGATAGTTGATAACAACAACTTAACAAGTAAAATGAACAAAATTTATGCTGAGGTTTGTTTTGGGAAAATTCCTTAATAAGCAAAAAAAAACTTATGATAAAATAACATATAAGAGCCGGCCAAAAAAAAACATATAAGAGGAAAACTCCAAAACAGCATTCCTTAAAAATAAAATGATTAAATTACTCCAAACCTTACAAATTTATTTTAGTCTTATTTAAATGCTAAATCCTAAAACCTAATCATGTGAACGCAAATTTGCGTGTTTTGATTAGTGCAACTACTTCTTAGAAAATTAAAGGAGAGAAACGTTAGACAAGTTTGGTTGTTTGGTGAACGGACCGACCAATATGCAGTTCTCAGTATCACGCGGTAATTCACCCAAAAGTTAACGTACATACGTACAACTTTATTCGAATGATGAATTTTCTTAAGTTCTTAAAGATATTCATACTTATCAGTGAGGAATGAGGATCCATTCATATAGATCAGAGGAAGCGCACACAAGCCCCGCATGAAAATAATGAACGGAGCTCCATCTTTTTGTTTGCGTTTTGAAGGATTCTGGCCAAAAGATGTTTGCAGCAACGAGCTTTTCGGATGAACAACAACTATTCTTGTCTGAATATCGATGGAATGATCTGAGGTTTGGTTAGCATAACAAAGGCCCTAATGTCTTTTCTAGAGGACCAAACTGTATTATATCCTAAAGAAACTGTCTGAGAACCAATCTCTACAAGAGAATCTATGAACCAACTCTTAGATCTCCCATTTTCAGAAGCTCTTATCTCTCTGTTTCTACATAAGTATAAGGGTGTACATACCGATATGCAACTGAAATTTACATGGAGAATCTCGTTGGAGAATCTAGGGACTAGGGGAAACATCTATGTCACTGTTGCTTCGCAGACATTGGCTCTTTGAAACAGCCATGATGCCCTCAAGTTGACAATAATGTATTTGAACGAATACACTGTTGTCGAATGCGCAATTAGCCAACCCATTGGACTGCTTAATCTGGGAAATCAACAAAGGACTTTTGAAACCAAACAAAGGACTTCACTAAAGAATCTACAAAGGCAATGAAGTTTGTGATCGTAGCTTGAACAAAAGCATGTCTCTAGTGGATTCAATAGTTTGTAGTAAATCATTGTATCAAAGAGTAGATTTGAGTAGTACAAAAGTGAGAAAAAGATGGAAACCATTTGTAATAAACAGCTTTGTTTGTCAATGAATAAGAATTACTTTGTTTCTTACTATGTTTCCACAGTTGCATTACATGAGCACGTTGTTTGATATTGAAGTAACTAAGTTAGTGGTTTCAGCATCTTTGTTATCGTAATATAGTTTAAAGTAACACACAACATACTATAACTATCTCTAAGCATGAGAAACAAAGCAATGAAATTGTCACGTTTTCAAGTGTACTTAAAATAGTTATAGAACAAAAACAAACTCGGAGATGCTATTAACTCAAACGGACTTTTGATCAAAAGCATTTGCCGATAAAATTGTAAGAATGTACAATGATGTGTCAAGTACTATGAGAACAGAATTGAACAAAACATTAGGGCATTAATAAGCACAAAGGAAACTTCTGGTGCAAAATTAAAACATATCTAAATACTAGGGACTTTTCCGTAAATTATATCATAAAGCCGGGGAATGGATAAGCCTCTGTCTGGCTCAAGGTTTAAGGGTTTTGGCACCGACGAAGTCACACTCAGACACACACAGTTCCATCGCCCTTCACTTTCCTCTCCGGTAAGAATTTCAGATTTGGATTTAGTCTAATATCTTTCTTACGCTTTGAAATCAACAACCAGTTCTTTGCTTCTTGAGTTTCTTTTTCGTGTATTTTCTGATTTTTCATAAATAACATTGACAGATTTTAATTTCAAAGGGGCACAAACAGTTTTCTTGGATCTTGAGTTGATGTTGACTTGTGTCCTTGATTAGATGATAAAGCCTTACTCTCTATATTGTCCGCAGATCAAAACTTGGTGTCACAAGATTGAAGCAGCCATGGCGAGTTTTATGATGGCCACACCATTCCCAGGTTGTCTCACTCAACGCAAGAAAACAAACAAGCTGTCCCCTCAGAGAGCCTTAAAGGTAACATCTATGCAGACACCGTTGGAGGAGCTGTACAATGTTAAAGTGGAACGGAAAGTGTCACAGAGACGGTTAGAGGAGTTAGGGGTTTCGAGATGGTCAGTTTGGAAGACTGGGAAATGCAAATTGCCGTGGGACTGGCAGGTGGATCAGTTGGTTTACATTGAAGAAGGAGAGGTTCGTGTTGTTCCCGAAGGTAGCAAGAGGTTTATGCAGTTTTTGGCTGGAGATCTTATTAGGTATCCGAAATGGTTAGAGGCTGATCTTTTCTTCAATGGTCCTTACCGTGAACGGTATTGTTTCAAGGCCTATGGTGATGATTGAGTGATTCATATGTAGAGTTTGGTTTAGAGCCAATAAAGTTTGTACTTGTGTGTGTATGCAACTTTTTTTGGGAGGATAATATAACAAAAGAAAAACTAATAAACGAAAATAACTAAAATATGACCAAAGATAGATGTGGCTAAAGAGAGAAGAGACCCCTAGAGAAGCTTCACTTGTAGTCCTAAAGTCCGCGTTTCTTCTAACGCAAAGAAGTCGAAACCGACATTAAAGAACCCAACCTATGGGTTTTGAGAGCAAGAAGTCCAGGAGCCTCTGTAGATAGCGGCTTCGGTGAGAGGGTCGCAGTGCCAACTCTCTGAAGTTTGTGTAAACAGAGCAGAAATCTCTGAGAAATCAAATAGAGACTCTCAAAGGATCTCTTTGTTTTGAAGAGAATGTAGCATTTTAATTCAACTTTTGAAAAATGACCAATAAGTAAAACAGAGGAGCTGCTTTAGACATCTTTGAGAGAGTGATGAAGAACCAAAAGGAAGCTCGCAAAGGAGCTTCTTTCCATGAAGATGTTTGTATTATCCTACTTGAATTATGGAAATTATTTTTCAGAGTCGCAGTAACCTTAAACAAACAAATAAAAACAAGAGAATAATCTTATGAATTGACGTGGAATTATTTGGATTTTAATAACAACCCGTATCTGATCCAAATATGATTTAGGGAGTTATTTAGACGAAACTACCCTTAGGGTGAAGAAAAAGGAAATTGAGACAAGTTGCTTGGATCCAAAGCTACTAAAATTTCCTTTTCTTAGTAACTGCGTACAGAAGCCACTCTCTCTATATATATTTCAACTCTCTCTCTCTCAATTACTCTATTTGCTTATTACGATCACACTGAAAACCCTAAGCTCTTCTCGCTACCTGAATCCCTTTTTCCTGACCGGATCACACACACATTATCTGAAACCAACAACGCAAGAAAGAAAGATGGTTGCGCAGGAGATATCTGATGATTTACAAGCTTTGTTTGTCGCAGCGATCGAAGCCTCTTATCTTACACGAGACCTAGGCGGCATCGAACGCTGTGTCGATTTGTTGAATAGGTTGAAGTCTAAGTCTCTCTCCGTCAGCGACATTCAACGATTCTCTAAGTCCATATTTAGGTTGGAGACTCTGAGAACTCACAAGAACCCTAAGATCCGTGAAGTATCTCAATCTTTGTTCCATTCATGGTTGGCTACTCTTTACGCACAAGGAAGAGACCAATCTCTCAAGCCAAAGAAGAAGAACCTTGTTCCAACAGAGTGTTCGAAAAAAGAACATAGATCTATCTCAAGTCTTGAACCGAAGGAAGAGATTAAGAAAAAGACAGGCCTTGTGGAGTTGAAGACAGAGACACAACGAGACAACAGAGACAAAGATGGTAAGGTTACAACCAAAACCTTGCTTCCTCCTCCCAAGAGAGTCGCTTCTTGCGCAAACCCTAATTCCGCGGCGAAAACAGAGGAGATGTTGGAGTTGTTCGAAGCAGCCAAGAAAGCTGCTGACGTGGCCAACGCTAAGGGTATTCTCTCGGGCAAAGCAGATGCGTCTCGCTGCGTCGAGGCTATCTCTTTGCTCATGAAGATGAACGTCACTCCAAAACCTAATGAGCCAAGAAGGATTATGGAGAGGCTTCAGGGACTCACAAAGCACAAAGACCGTACTATTTGCAACGCTGCATCATCCCTTCTTCAACTTTGGAGGCAGAGGATCAAAGAAGGTGAAGCCAAAGCTGCGTCTACAATCGATATGATTCTTTCCAAACCTTGTGGAGCTCATCAGATACGTGGTCAGAGCTTCACAAGAGAACCTACAAAGAAGAGGAAACTAGTGATGTGAAGATTGTTGTTTGAAAAACTTTATTCTTTTGTAAAAGTTTATGAAAAGATTTATCTGTAAGCAATTTGCTTCTATTGTCAATATATAAAATCTCACGAATTATTCTTTTCCTTAGGTTTCCAAAGAGTAACATGAGTACATTGTTTGGCATGGAAGTAACTCGTTAGATTGTTTACTGTTTTCAGCTCCTCTGTCTCCAACAAGAATTACGTTTTTTTAGTAACTTGACACTATCAAATTACAAAAGAAAAGGTTAGCGGATCACTGTATCAAGACACGTTCAAGAGTTATATTGAGTGTGAGGTTGAGATGGCATACATTTGTAGTAAAAGTATGAGTGGCATTTGTTAGTATGTTTGTGGACTTCCAGTTTGTAAACCTACCTTTTAGATCCGAAATAAACAACTCACAATTTGACACAGATGAACGAAACTGAGTTTAGAGATTAGATATAATGCAATCCAGAGGAACATGAAAACTCTTACCTGCATCATACTCCTAGGATTTGTAGTGTACGTTGTTTTAATTGTTCTTTGTTTCTACAAGTCTAGCACCAGGGACTAAAATTAACTTTGTAAGCAGAATGAATGTAGCAGGTTCTCACTAGACAAAATAAGGAACAACACGCTTGCCAATTTTTCTCTATGCAGGACTTCGGGTATTAGACAACAAGCCACCAAATTTGGAAACTGCATTAACAGTGGCCATATCTGACAAAAGAAAACCGAATTTTTCACACAAAAGAAAATCAAAATTTTTCAATTTGGGCCTTTCATTCCTTAATGGGTTTAGTTTAGCCCATTTTAGTAAGATAAATAAAAACAGACATTGGTTTTAGCCCTATAAATGTTTAAGTTTACGAAATTGATTTTTAGAATAAACATTGGACACACGTCTAATCATTGTTCTGATTTTTTTTCTTTGTCATCGGACCTGATCTAACCCCCAAAAATAGATAAGGTCCGAATCATATCTAAGGGCATCTACAATGGGAATATAAAATCTATTTTTTAGAATTTTTGTCAAAAAGAATATTTAAAATCTTTTGATAAGAATTAATCTTTACATTGACCACGTGACGACCCGTGAATAGTCTTTTTTTTTTAAACAATTTGAAATATCCAGAATTAATTAGAAATGTCCTTGTCACTAATATGTTAATGTATGATTTTTTTTTTTGGTATGACATAAGTTAATGTATGATGACAATGGAAGAATGTCACTTAGTGAAATCAAACCACACAAGTAATACTATTCAATCATCATTCTATGTTATTATTAAATATGTTTCTTATAAAATATTAGTCACGGATATGCTTTTAAAATATTACTATTGCAACTATATTAACAAATTTTGAAAACTGCAAATCCTAAGTCTTATTTAAAAATTATTGTTATACATTTGATTAAATTTGATTAAAATAAGAAACAGAATATACACATATTATTGAAATCATTGTCATAATACATTAACATTTTCATTGCGTATTCACATTTGGTGTCCAGATTGGATGAATATTAATATCCTCCACCACCTCTATTATTTTATTCACATGCATTTATCGACACTTAACGCCATCTGTGCAATCCGAACCACTAAACGTTAAAATATCCAACGGCCACGATTCGCCAACTCGATACATCACGCACCGACGGCTGTGATTGAAGCCATACCTTCCAGCTCACTCTTGCTGCGTCTGATCCTCTCACCGCCGTCATCACATCCGCTCGTAGCCGTCCCCCAAATATCCGGCACCGCCGTAGCTATCTCAGTTACATTCTCCACTGCATAATCCGCATCTTTAGTCTTTTCTGATCTTCCCACCTTTTACACCAATATAGAAGAAAAAAATTATTTTCAAATATAAATGTCTTTTTTGTTGACAAAGAAACACATTTAAACGCGTATAGTTACTTACCAGGATTGTCCGAAGCCCGACAGATTTACCCGCGGTAATATTGTGGACATTATCATCCAAAAACACCTATTTAACAAATATAAAAACAGTTTAATACGATGCATAAAAAAATAAAAAAGCTATAAAAAATAATAGTTTAAATATTTCTATAAATAAGATTATTACCGCCCGGCGAGGATCAACGTTGGCTACACGAATGCAAACATCCATTGCGGTCAACGAAGGCTTGAGAACGACGGGATGCTCATCGGGTCGGGTTGTTGACCCGAATAAGTGCGGGTTCATTGTCTCGAAACATATCATCTCTTCAAAACAATCTTCTAAACCCAATATCTTAAGAACCTTCATCGCATGGTTCCTGTCCGAATTTGTAAAAATCTGTTACACCCAAAAAAAAAGATCATTTATTATAAGAATAAATAAATATTCATGCTCTATAAAAATAATTAAAATAAATAAACTTACGATTTTTCTCTGTTTAATTTTGTTCAGAAGGTTTCGAAGTTTGTTGTTAGGTTGGATCGAGCCATACGGCAACCTTCCGTGCACGACACTGTAACCAAAAAATTTCAAGAAAAGCAACAAACGTTTTAAGAACAAAAATACTTTATATGGGAATAAATAAATATGATAAATTATATTATATTGATTGTGATCTTTTTACCTGTGATATTCATCAGGATGAACATCGTGACCTAATGCCTACAAAATTTATATGAAAATAACCGCAAGAAATGAGAAATCAATTAAGTAATTTTTCTTAAGATACAAGAACTTGGGGGAAATGAAATTACCCTGAGACCAGCGAGAGTACTTCCATAAGTCTTAAAGAGTTCAACTCTTAGACTTGAAGCTTTACTTTCAGAGAATCCAAACTTCTCCATTAGAAAATCTGCCAAGGGAAATATAATCAACCGAATGTTTATGAAAAATAGTAAAAAGTTAATTTTCTGTTTAGTTACCGTCGATGTTTTTCTTGACAGCTGGTGCTATTCCGGTTTTCAAAGGGTATAATGTGTCATCCAAATCTGATCATAGGTACAAATTACATCAAGATTGTGGATATATAAATCAAGAATAAGATAAAAAAAGAAGTAATACAACTTAGTGAATGTAATTTAAGCTTACCGAAAATGAGGCAATTGATCGGAGAGAAAGCCATTACAAGAAAATAAGTAAGCAATAATACTGATTTAGAAATTTAAGAAATTTTGAGGAAATAGCAGAACAAAGACGAAGAGGCGAGAAGAGAGGGAGAGTTTGGAGGGTATTTATAGGAAGCTGAGTCGTTTTTTATTTATGTAAATTAGTTTTAAGTCGTGTTTTTAAATGTTTTAATATATTTTTTTTTATCATGGATATTGACTGCTGACTCATAGTTCATATCCTTCTCGTGTCTATTTTATCTGAATACACAATTCTTTTTTTTTTGACAAATGATGACACATTACTCTCGAAAGTCTGTAATCACATTTTAATATGTTCGATGCTAATCAAAGCATATTCTATCTTGATTGTTTCTTGCACCATATTCCATCTTGATTATCAATATAAATGCATTTTCTTATTTAAAGAGTTTCAAAACCTTACGTGTTAAGTCTTGAAATTTTGGAACATTGTTTCAAAAACTTGCTATGATCAAGAAAGTACTTATAACACTGGTATAGAAGGAAGAGAACGACAAGTTTTTTTTAACAATGAACGTTAAATAACTTGAACTTGTATTAGAAGCTATGACATGTCGACTGCTCATGAAGAAGAAAATCAATAATCTGTTTATCCCAGCTGGTGCCGTTTTGGTTAATATAATTACATAAGGTTAGAAAATTACTTCAAGAGTAATTAAAAACGACATGACTAGTAATTACTCACTAATGATTGTAAATTGTTTTAGACGACTGACGACTAAATGTCCTAAGTATTAAATCTTGACACGCCAACCAGAAGTCTATGTGCTTAAATGATTTAATACAACCAAAAATATTGTAGCTCCCGGATGGACATTCTAGGATTCAAATGAAATTCAAAATATGGTTTTATTTCCTCATAGCTATATATGTTTAATACCGTAGGTTACTTTGAACTCGGATCATTTAGCTTCCAGATTATGCCTACTACTAAACCACTCATGTGTGATTTCATGAACTTATGTTATAATCTACAAAAACCTTTTCAACTTACTAGAAACATAGTCGATAACCAAGATTATGCATTGTGGGCGCTCGTGGTTCAATGCTTTTTAAGTTTTAACGGCCGGAAGCTGATGTTGGTTAGGCACCGCTTCCTTTCTGTTCTTCATTTCTAAAAGAGTGATAAACCAGGATAATTGAACCCAAACATAGAGGCTATGCGATACATTACTCAAAAATACTCGATGGAGATTCGAATGAAATGCCATTTACCACATGGCTTAGGCTTTTAGAGCTGTCTTCTTACCAACTATCACCTTTATGAAATTCAAAGAAGATGTCACTACCAGAGTTTTTCACACACAATACACGTGCCTTTATAGAGAAAATATTTTTCCTGACAGAAGTATCGTACGCGTTGATAAGATACGATTCGTTTGATTTACGTGTTTTGTTTTTGAGAATTTTGGTTTGTAAGTTTTCTTTTATATCAGTCAAAAAGATAAAAGTTTTTCTTAACCTATGATAAAAAAAACACAAGTACAGCGCGTAAGAAAAAATTACAGTGATTATGATAAGTTTTTTTAATTATATAATTAGTTTGGTTTTATATGTTTATTGGTGAAATAATCTAATTGGTTTGAACTTTCTGTGGACCTCTCTCAGACATCACTTCCCATTAAGAGATGTCACTAATGTGTTGGATTACTGGTTGGACATTTTATTCGACTGCATCTTTTATCGTGAAAGATTCGTCTATGATACTGAATTATCATACGTTTAATTATTCATTGATAAATTATCATTTCAGAACAAATTATTGAGCCAGATAAGAATGACGAAACTATTTATTTCGGTCCAAATCAATATGACATTTGGAAGTCTTGCAAGAAATCAAGAAAACACACGAATTGATTTATTTATGATTTAAGAATGACAAATAGTAGCTATTTAGGTTCAAATCAATGATATTTTGTTTCCCTTCATTTGGAAGTCTTGCAAGAAGACAACACACTGATTTACTATTTAAACAAAATCATTTGTGTAAATTATTATTTGATGAGTGGTCGTATTAATTATTGAAAGGAACCAATTTGGAGCCATAAAAGAATGACAATAGCTATTTATGTCCAAATCATTATACTGGGGATTCATTTTCTAGCGGGACGCATTGGACCTGTTGGAGCCATAAAAGAATGACAATAGCTATTTATGTCCAAATCATTATACTGGGGATTCATTTTCTAGCGGGACGCATTGGACCTGTCTCGCGCGAGATACGATCTTGAAAATAACTGTTCAATTCTGTGCCGTATTTTTTGTAGGTTTTCGCAGACCGTCCCATGGGACATGTGATAATACGCACAGCAGAACGATCCAGGCCACTCCAAAACGTTTCAGACCATTATAGGACATAGTTCAAATCGTTGATTTAACTGGACATAATTCATCAATCATTGCTTTGTTTATTTTTTATTCAAAACAATAATTGTAGTTATTTGTATCATATCCAAAACTTATTAACATACAAAAGTAAAAATAACTGCAGAAAATATTTTTTCATTAAAAAGAAAAACCAAATCAAAACACTACTGAATCTCGAATCTTTCATCGTTGGACCTGTAGTCGTCATCACCGGAGCTCGAAACATTATCACCGAAGCTCGAATCATCATCATCGCCCGAGCTCCTTACGTTTTCCTAGGGGAAGTCACATGAATTATATTTTACTCACTCATTCTCTCGTTTTTTTCAGGAAAAATAGAAAATAAAGAAAAAAATGTGGATTCTTGCAATCCCGCAGGATCCGTTTCGGTTCTTCCCGCAAAAGATCCAATCCCGCAAAGACCCATTCCGCGAGGCCCGCAAGCTTGCAAACCTAGAAAACCTCAATCCACTACCATCATACAACAGGTCTTTATGGGCTACACCGGCGGTCCAGGTCCTTTCGTTTGGATCACTAATAACTTCAGCGAAATAAATATAATTCATGATCGTAAATTGGGCCAAATAAGCCCACATGACTTCATTAATTTCGACCCATATAGTTTTTCAAACAGGCCCATCTTCAAATAAAGTACATTTCCTTTTTTTTTGGTCGGCAAATTAAATAAAGAAAAAAACCTCCCTCCTCCTTTCTAAAGGAAGCGCCGAACTTCTCTAGGAAGGTCTAGAAGATCAATCTCTTCTCTCTCTCACTCTCTCGCACCTTCTAAACTCCTGTCTACTTCTTCGTGTCCGTAGTCTTCTTATTAAGCTACAACTACAAACCCAATTGTGAAAAAAGATCTCTCGTTTTATCAGGTTTGTCTCCTCTGAGTCTTCATTTTTCCTACTTGATTTTAGCTTAGTTCATATTTATTCCGTGAGATAATAGAAGAGTAAGAACCCGAGAATCCGACAAATACTTGAAAACTAGTTCTAGTTCTTGTCTGAATCATGTCTTAGTTAGTTATTGAGTGTTGAGAAATGTAATGAAATCAATTTTAGTTTGTAATTATTGATTGTATGTCCGAACCTTAAAAGCTTTGTGTCTGAACAGGACAAAAATGGCAGAACAAGCATACACAGTAGCATCAGACAGTGAGAACACAGGAGAAGAAAAATCCTCATCATCTCCTTCCTTACCCGAAATAGCCGTTGGTATCGACATCGGCACATCCCAATGCAGCATAGCAGTCTGGAACGGCTCACAAGTCCACATCTTACGCAACACAAGAAACCAAAAGCTCATCAAATCCTTCGTCACTTTCAAAGACGAAGTCCCCGCAGGAGGCGTGAGCAACCAGCTCGCACACGAGCAAGAGATGCTCACAGGAGCAGCTGTCTTCAACATGAAACGCCTCATAGGCCGTGTGGACACGGACCCTGTTGTACACGCCAGTAAAAGTCTTCCCTTTCTTGTCCAAACCCTAGACATTGGAGTCAGACCTTTCATCGCTGCGTTGGTGAACAACGCGTGGAGGTCGACGACTCCGGAGGAAGTGTTAGCGATCTTTTTAGTGGAGTTACGATTGATGGCTGAGGCTCAGCTGAAACGTGCCGTGAGAAACGTGGTGCTCACGGTTCCTGTGTCTTTCTCTAGGTTTCAGCTCACTAGGATTGAGAGAGCTTGCGCTATGGCTGGACTACATGTACTTCGTTTGATGCCTGAGCCAACAGCTGTCGCGTTGTTGTACGCGCAGCAGCAGCAGATGAGTAGTCATGATAATATGGGGAGTGGAAGCGAGAGGGTTGCTGTTATATTCAACATGGGAGCTGGTTACTGTGACGTGGCGGTTACGGCAACTGCTGGTGGGGTCTCGCAGATCAAAGCCTTGGCTGGAAGCGCCGTTGGAGGTGAAGATATTTTGCAGAACACTATGAGACATGTAGCTCCACCGAACAAAGAAGCTTCAGGGCTGCTCCGTGTAGCGATACAAGACGCTATACACAGGTTGTCGAAGCAAGACAGTGTTCAGATAGAAGTTGATTTGGGAGATGGTGATAAGGTTTCCAAGGTTCTTGATAGGTTAGAGTTTGAGGAAGTGAACAAGAATGTGTTTGAGGAGTGTGAGAGACTTGTTATGCAGTGTCTAAGAGATGCTAAAGTTGACGTTGGTGATATAGATGATGTGATAATGGTTGGAGGATGTTCTTACATACCTAAAGTGAGAGCCGTTGTCTCTAACGTGTGTAAGAAGGAAGAGATTTACAAGGAGGTGAATCCTTTAGAAGCTGCGGTTAGAGGAGCTGCTTTGGAAGGAGCTGTGACGTCAGGGATACACGATCCATTCGGTAGCTTAGATCTCTTGACTATACAAGCCACGGCTCTTGCGGTTGGTGTCAGAGCCAACGGGAACAAGTTCATACCTGTTATTCCACGCAACACGATGGTTCCTGCGCGTAGAGACCTCTTCTTCACCACGGTTCATGACAACCAGAAGGAAGCTTTGATCGTTGTGTATGAAGGAGAAGGAGAGAGTGTTGAAGAGAATCATCTTCTTGGTTACTTCAAGATCGTTGGGATCCCTGCGGCGGCTAAAGGAGTTCCTGAGATTAATGTTTGTATGGATATTGATGCTTCGAATGCTTTGAGGGTGTTTGCGGCTGTGTTGATGCCGGGGTCGAAGAGCCCTGTGGTGCCTGTGATTGAAGTGAGGATGCCTACGGTTGATGATGGACATGGTTGGTGTGCTCAAGCTTTGAATGTTAAATTTGGTTCTTCTCTTGATTTGGTTACTCTTCAGAGGAAGTGATGTAAAGTTTGAGTTGAAGAGATGTCTTATGTGATCGTTTAGCAAAAAAGAGTTTGTGTGTTTTGGATTTGTTGTGGTGAAAGTTGTTGACAGTGTCTGTATGTGTAATGAAGTAATAATGTTATGCAGATTGTATAATATAACAATAAATGGGGTTTTGGACATTTGCCTTTGAGGGTGTGATAGTGTTACAAGTTTAGAACAGTCTTTAAAAGGACAGGTTGTAATTAACCAAGCTTCATGGGTCAAATGAACGTTATTTGTAATTAACAAAGCTGCAGGGCTCAATTGAATTTAGATGAACGTTTATGAAGTTGTGATCTCTTTCAGATTGTGAAAAACAAAAAACTGCAGGCCAAATGAAACGTTTGTGAAGTTGTGATCTCAAGTAGAAGAGTGAAAAAAAAAGAAAACGCTAGAAGGAGGGGTCGTACCTCCGACCTTGTGGTTAACAGCCACACGCTCTAACCAACTGAGCTATTCCAGCTTCTTACTATGTATTAATGTTTATGACTCTTAATTTTCCCTAATGTATCCGGATATCTTTGAAAGAGATCCAACCAGCACATAATGACCGTTCACCAGAGTTAAAACTGGGAGTCCACCAAAAGCATTCATGGAAGTCGCTTTTTTCACTTTATTTTAATCGACGGTGACTAGAACTCAGACCACCAGGTGGCAGAACTCATAGCGTGAGCCCTTTACCACCAGGCCAGGAGAACCTGGTTTTTAACTCTTAATTTACGTTCGTCTGTTTTCCTATTTGATGCTTACACTTTTGTTTTCTTTCACGGGCGTATACGTAATACGTTACTTACCATAAATCATGGGGTCGTGACGGCCGTCTTCTTCGACTGTATCAAATTGTATTTCTATGAGACTATGACCTTTATATAGTAGGTAAGAGAAGTCCAAATGTGTGCGCACAACTTTTGTTTGTTCCGTCTCGAGTTAGATCTCATATCTTGAGAATGACCCATATGTTTAGGTAGGTTTGGATCTTGAGTCAAAGTAATTGCTTAAATTTTGCCAACAAATCATGGATTCGTTTCTAAAACTATATACAAAAATCAGCTAAAGCCGTAATATATCAGGATGCTTTGTATTGACTACGGTAATTTCATTTACAAAATATCGGTTAATAGGGGGTTTTCAGATTGATTTGGACTTTGGATGGCATAGAGAGTCAGTACAACTCTGTTTCTGTGTTTATAAAGAAACAAAACACTAATTTTGAGTTCAGATAATTCATATTATGTATATACATTCATATAAAAAAATGTATACTAAAAGCGTAAATTTATATTGACCTATCAACCAAGTGGTTGGGCAGAGCTGGAGACAGACGGCAGAAAACCAGGCACCTTTTACCAACTCGATTAGTTTACTTAAGATTTGCATATTCTTATAGAAGTTGAGTCGTTAACCTAGCCAAATTAATAATTACTTATGGCGTTTTAACAAAACAAATTATTTAAAATCCTAAATATAAAATCATAGTAAAACTTACTTCCAAATATATTAAAGAAAACCACATTCACATTTCCACAAGACTACGAGTATGAGGTTAGATGTTTGCAATTCATGCAATAGAGGACATGTTATTTCATTGTAGAAACATTTTCCACATTACAAGGTGTTGCAGTATTACTTTACTTATTTAAAAAAAAAATCTATAGTAGAATCTTTAACTATTAGACCACCTAACTTAAAGTTATTTCAGTTTATCATTTCGTAATGAATGAATTAATCTGTATTTGTTTGCATTTGAGAGGGTTTAGATGCTTTAATTAGTGTGGAAAAGACAAAAGGTATGGTCTTATTTTTACCTAAACCAACTATCATTTTAATATTTTTGTTTTAATTAATTATTAAACCCTTATTAACTACAATTCTATAGTTTATTTGGGCGAGTGGACCTTCCAACATCCGTCTCTTAGGATTCGCAATTATTTTGTTTTGTCTCGCATTGTGCTATGTGCTTAAATCTAATGGAAAGAAGCAAAACGAATAGATCTCAATATTTAAGTGAACTACAAGCCAGGCATGTAGCATTCCTTGATTTCTTAACTATATATCCATGCAACTTTAACAAATGTTTTAAATAAGAACTTGTTTTCTGATACATGGATAGAAACTGAAGGAAGTGTTATAAATATTATAAATGAAAACATTGAGAAGTAGTAACGCACTAGTTTATGTTTCTTTTCCAATTATGTGGACTAGAATGTTTTGGTGGTGTCACACAACATACTAACCGGTACAATTGGATTATGTCTTAAGACATTAATCGTGTATGTCTACAGAAAAGAAACGGTTACATATACATAATAAATATCAACTACTTTTCCCTTTACTAAAGTATATGGATTCGTAGTAATTTAAAAACAAGATCCATGCCTTGATATAATATAAGCAACTAGTGAGGTTATCGATGCCTCAAGCTTTGCAACTCGGTGATACTTTGCTGTCTACAAGACTTTATTCTCATTGATCAAACCAAGTTCAATTTTAACTCCTCGCATAAAGTTTTTTGGACGTATTTAGCTTTCATTTTGTTAATTCGCAAGTTAATCAATAAAAAATATTTCCTTATTTGATTTGGACTTGGAGCTCCCCGCAAACTGTCTAACCCCCAAAACAAGTTTTGTCCGTATCATCAGGCATATTTACTTCCAATTATAGAGCTTTTTGCCAATAACTATGATAAACACAAAAATATGTTTTGAATTTTCTGTTCACTCACGAGTCTCGACCATGGGTTGAGAATGGTCTTTTGATATCTCGGTTTGGTACATACTAGTATAGCATGTCTAGTATCCAACATGTTAGAAGTCTTTTACGTTTCTTGTCCTTATATCGATAACATAATATCTAACTTTACAGTACCCAACCATATAAATTATCTTCAAAAAACTTAACACTTATCTCAAATTTCTTCGATCCTTTTAATCATTCAATAGTTTGAGAACGAAATAAAAATAAAATAAACCCAAAGCAATATGCACACGCTACCTCGATCGACAATGCTTGGATTTATACACATAATTACATTTGGTCATCCGGTCGTAATGCATGCAAAATTATTAATTAACCTCTATTACGAAATTGAGGTTTATTTAACAAAAACATACAAATACAAAAAAGGAAATAAAGATAAAAAATGTCAGTAGTTTTCTGAGCTAGCTTCTCTTCCTTGGAGACGATAATGTAAAAAAAAAAAAAATGTTAGGTCCGTTCTAATTAAAATCACGTGAGTCATTTATTACACGATCATTTTTTTTAATCTAGGCGGCCGCCGCGTAATCATATTCGACGTTCTTCCGACAAGAGTGAGACCATGACGTCGGAGAAAGCCCTTATGATGAACTTATGCATGTCGGTTGGATTCAACGCTAGATAACTAAGAAGCAACTCGTTCAAGTAATCATAACCGTCGTCGGGATGGCTGAGATCTCCGGCGTCGATGGCGGCATCAATCATCTCTTGCATTGATCGTCTGAAGTCAGTCAACGGATCCGGTGAGTACACGTGTTGCTTCACGGCCGAACCTCCGCTTAGAAGCCTCGTGGTATCAACGTTAGTGTTGTCGTAGTTCTTGTTCTTTGTTGTCTTGATAGTGGCACAGTCGCTATTATCAGAGAGTTCTCTTGACCGTGTTTCCGGTGAGTCGGTGATTGCATTTGATCGGCCAGGGGAAGAGAAGAAGAAGCGACGGGAAGCGAAAGCGGCGGATAGTTCAGGAGAAATGTCGTGGCTCTCGGATTCGTATGATGACGTGGCGGAAGAGGAGAAGGTGGTGGCGGTGGATGAGGAAGGTAAGTCAACGACACGGTGGTTGTTGTGGTCATTATTGTGGTAGAGTAGGTTGAAGTTGTTGATGAGAACGATAGATGGACGGCTAGGATCGTCGTCCTCAGCGGCGGCGGAGGGAGGAAGACACGGCGAAGTATAGCATTTGGTGAGATTTGAAGGGAAGCAAAGATGGAGGCTCTTCCACATGATCTTTGGCATTTTTTTGCTTGAGAGAGAGAGAGGACTTGTGAGAGAGTATAGATGTTCTAGAGCAATTGGATTTGTTGGCTTATTTTGTAACATATAAATATTAACAATGTCTCATTAGTCATTAAGATAGTAAGGGTACTTATGTAATTTAGAAACTCATTCTCTCATTTTCAAGAATGGTAACTATGCAGCTACCAAGAGTCTGAATGTTGACTATGTTCACCAATCACCACCACATGCACTTGTGTTGCGAGTTGCAAAACATACTGACTGTACTTGTTATGTTTAATTGCTATAGTTATTTTTGGATCCTTTATTTACATGTGTATTGATGTAAAATTTAAAAAGTAGATTCGAACAAATCAATTCGGAAACGTATATACACTAAAATGGTGCTGTACGTTCGAGTGAATGTGATGGTCAGATATTTACTTGTTTTCTCTTTCTTTTGGTTTTATACTGTACTTTCTAGTTTTGTTTCTGTTTACTTTCTAGACTCTGACATACAAAGCTGCATTTAACATGGGGGGGGGGGGTATCTCTTTCTCTATTCGTGAATGTTAAAATTTTATTTATTTTGGTTTATTCATATAACCATATTTATATAATGTAGAGTTGTAAAATTTGCAAAACATGAAGGATGATTGTCCATGTAAATTACACAAAGGAGCTCACGAGGAGGAAAATTCATCCATTACCTAAATAGGTCCACTCATCATGACGTAAATTACAAAAGATGTTAGTTCAAGTACGAGTACCCCTCAAATGTGGTCCGGTCGATAAGGCCAGGTCGAGTTATCACTGGTCCAACCAACCAGATCATTGGGGTCGAATTTTTTTTTCTCTGAAAAAATATCCAAAATATGATTAGCCTACATATATGTGATTATCAGTTAAGCATCTGCTCATTTTTATTTAGGATCACTATATCAAGTAACAATGGCTAAGATTGGATACCATCATTTGGTGTTGGATTGAAGATCATACAACTAAATCAAGTGAAGATTATATATATATATATATATA